AAGAGCGTTGGCTTCTATGCACTGTTATTACGCATCCTTTGCTGAAAACTGTATACCCTTCACATTTTTGAACCTCCTGTGTGTTTCCTCATATTTTCAATCAAATTATTACATACTAGAAATATGCATAAGGGAAATTATTCTACACATTTTATGGTGTGCTGTTGCTTGTAGCAGTAATTGAAGTACCTTTTCCACTTATGAAAGTACTAATTTTATTTGGTTTTATTGCTTTTCTAGATGCAATTATTTATTTAGTGTGTTTTGGCTTTATTAAATTATGTTTACTATAGGAACATCATAAAAATGTATGAAAGCAACACATCAGCCAATGCTGCCCAATGACCTGATTTGGAGAATCTAGTGTTATTTTTCATATCCAAACATAATAGAATAAAGTAGGAATAAAGAGATAATCTACACTGGAAAACAATGCAATTTTGAGATAATATAATAAAACACCTGGACAATATGATTTCATAAATCTTAGTTCTAAAATTTACATGAGCTGGGCGTTGGGGTGGCTATTTTAGGACACATGGCATTTTCTAAGTGAAAACATAATGTGAAATGTAATTAAACAGCAAAGGGGGAAGCAAACACGGATTTCGTTTGCCCTGAGCAATTGATTTCTATAAAGCTATGTAAATATTTTTGTTGCAAAGGATGAACTGGCACAGCCATGGGAAATTCAGAATTTTAAACTGGCCATGACCAACAACTTGTTTGCAAAGCCTCACTAGATTGGAAGGGTCTTCACATGTGGAACACAATTTGATATTTTGGTCTCCCATTGAAGTCAATGGCAAAACTCCCAGTGGGGATTTCAGGGTAGCTCTGCTCCTGTAGAGCTTGAATGTTTTGCATACTGCTGTTATGTGTAATGGCCCTTACATTAGCTTAGCTTCCATATTTAGGTTTTGTATTAAACAACAGGTAGAGGGCACAGAAGGTTATGAAGCCCCAAAGGAGCTTACAGCAGTGCAGCAAACAAAGACATAATAAGGATCAGAGGCCCAAAGCTGCTGGGAGAATAATACAGTCCTGAAAAAGCAGTAAAGAAGAAAGTAAAAGTGTTCATGTTGCTTGTTTTCATTTTCTCAGGATGAACTAGTGTGATACTTAGCTATTTGTGCACATGATATTATACTACCTCCTAATAATTTCTGTCATGATTAGGGAGTATTCTATCATTCTTCTTTCATGATTGACAACTATACTGGTCAGTAGGCCTGTGCAAAGCGGAAAGTACTTGCTTCAAATTCGGATTCGGCAAATTGGAGGGACAGTAATTCGATTCAGTGATTTGAATCACTGTCCTGATTTGATTTGACTGAATCCAAAGATATTCAGCACCAAATCTTATTTGGCCATAGACTATACAGGCAGGCAGTGCCGGCGGGAGGAGCTGGGGGAGCAGCCGGATGAGCTTGAACTGGCAGCCCCGGGAGAAACCATGGCTCATCCAGCTGCTCAGCCAGCTGCCCCCAGTGTGGGCGAGACAGGCAGTGCTGGAAGCCCCCAGAGAAGCCACAGGGGATGGGGGGAATGATTAGGGAGCTGGAGGATTGAACTGGGAGCTGAGGGGAAGCACCCGTTCATTCCCCCAGCTCCCAATCATTCCCTCCAGCTCCTGGTTCGATTCCCCAGTTCCCAGTTCGATCCCAATCATTCCCCCCAGCACCCATGACTTCTCCTGGGGCTGCCAGCCCTGTCTGCCTCTCCCCAGCGTGGGGGACCAGCCAGAAAAGCCACAGCTTGAGCCAGAAGCCCTGGGAGAAGCTGCAGGGGCTGGGGAATTGAACCAGGAGCTGAGGGGAAGCCCCTGATCATTCCCCCAGCCCCCGATTATTTCCCCCCCAGCTCCCAAATCAATTCCCCAGTTAAATCTCCCAGCTACCTGGTCATTCCCCCCAGCCCCCATGGCTTCTCATGGGGCTGCCAGCCCTCTCACTCCGGTGGGGGAGCAGCTGGACAGGCTGCACCTTTTCTCGGGGCTGCCAGCTCAAGCCAGGGGTCTGGCAGCTATTACCCCAGCTGCTCCCGCCAGCACTGCCTAGTGCCTGCCTGTACAGTCTATAGCTGAATCTCTGAATCTCTCTCAATCAATTTGGTGGTTTCTCATTCAATTTGGGGAGATTAATGACTCTCCTGATTCGATTCAGATTCGGAGATTCAGCGGCTGAACCAGGCCGTGAACCAGGCCGAATCTCCTCCAAATTGAATCACTTACTGAAGTTTCACACAGCCCTACTGGTCAATGCCAATGCTTTATAATACAGGTTCGCTTGATGATTTTCAGTAGATATGAAAGTCCTGAAAACTACTACTTAGTACTTTATAGTGAGGATTTTGTTTGTAAAAAACCTTACTCTCCAGTGTTATCCTTAAACCTATCTACCTCACTGCCATGGCTCTCGGCAGCACTCCCGCCCCCGACCCCCCACACACACTCTTTTCATCAGGGTTTTGCCCAGGGGGCAAAACTTGCTAGTTATGCCTTTGATGGTATCACAATGGTATACAATCAAGTTAAAAGGTGACTCATGCCTGTTTTTTGAATTAGAAATGTATTAGTGATAAGAGGCAGGAGACAGGTTTGCAGCCCAGCCTTTTATTGTTTGCACTGAAGCACAGGTCCGTGCTGGAGCGCTGTGTTCTCCCACGTTCTCTGTGATCAGCCCCACGTATATATACCAGGGGTGTCCAACCTTTTTGAATGTGGGGTTCATGTGATCGTGAACTTTTTATCACCCAGTGGGCTGGCGAGCCATATTCAAAGATGTCACAGGAAGTGGTATTATATCAGGAAGTGATGTCACGTGACCTTTGACACCAATGAAGTTGCAGGGGTTGACATGGTGCTGGTTGACATGGCATGCATGCCCGGGTTGACATGGTGCTGCAGGAGCCGCTTGGCTACAACCGGGTTGACCTGGTGCTGGAGAAGCCGTGGGGCCAGGCCGGGGTTAACTTGGCGCCCACCCGGCCTGCCAGTGC